TTTTTCGTGCTTTCTATGCCTGTTCATTTTGTGTTGGTTTTGCCTGTTGCTTTTGCCCCTCACTTTGTGGTTGCAGGTTCGAGGTGTCTGGTTGGGGGTTCTTAGTATGGAGGGAAAAGTGGTTAATAAGCTACAAAGATTTGCGCTCTCAGATCGTGAAGTGTAAAAGAGTAACCCTTTCTAAGGACGATGTAGCATCTGGAGTTTAAGAGTGCCAATTGAGCCTGTTAGGTGAGTTGTACGGAGATAAGAAAATCAATTTGGGTGGATTTAAGTCGATGATAAACATAATTTGGATAGCCCGTCTACCTTTATTTACCAAAAACCTATGTGAAAATGCTTTTCAGTATGCCTTTCAATGTGAGGAAGACAAGGATATGATACTGCAGGGTAAAATGTGGAATATTGATGGTCACTATCTTCTCCTGAAACCGTGGGACCTAAGGAGGACAGAATTCACTGAGGAAGATTAAAAGATCAAGCTATGGGTTCTGATCACTAACTTACCTCAACACTGGATATCAGCTGAGACTAGATTGAAGATAGGTAGATTAATTGGCCGAGTGCTAGATGTAGTAGTTCCAGGAGCTAGCAGCAGCAATGGAAAGATGGTCAAGGTGTTAGTGGAACAAAGATTGAACGAGCCCCTTTTAAGAGGCACAAACATAAAATTGGGACAAAATACTAAATGGGTAATGTACAGGCCTGAAGACCTGCAAGTATTATACTTTTATTATGGTAGAATAGGCCAGAGTGAAAGAAACCGCCACTGTAAAAAAGAATATTTTAACAGAAATAAGATTAATCTAGGGAGTTTGGAGACTGGTTAAGAGCACATGTGTAAAGTCTTTTTGAACCTAGAGGGTCCAAACCAAGTTCTGGTTACAGTTTCCCTTCTGAGGATAGAATCCTTAGGAGTCTTTCTTTGAACAAAGAAGATTATTACTAAATCTAGGATTCTTGTTGAGGGCAGTAAGAACTTTGTGCAGGGTAGGAAAAATGTAATTTCTTTGCTTAAAAACCATGGTGTCTTGCCTTTAGTTGAAAACCACTTAGTAAGTCCTCAGAATCTGATAGAAACAAATGTTAAGACTGCTAAAAAGCAAGTACCACTCAGAAAAAACCAAGAGGCTTTATTAGGAAACCAAGGCAAAGCCAAACTCTTAAAATAGAAGGTATGCAGATAGATAATCAAGGGTCAGAATTTGAATCAACTTAGGGTGGGGCTAAACTAAGAAGAAGTCTAGAGGTAAGTGAGGAACAAGAAAAAGAGGTTTGTATAGCTTAATAAAAAAACATAGGAATGTAGGGAAAGTAAGAGAAACAGTGGTGGAGGTAGCCAACCCTAATAGGCCCCCACCTATAAATGGAGGTATGTGTGTGGAATTGTAGAGGTTTGGGGGGACCCTTTACAATTTTTCAAATAAGAGACTTTTAAATCTAAAACCCTGATTTTCTTCTTCTTTCTAAAACCAAGATAAAAGCTAGTTTTGTAAATGCTGTGTATAAAAAGCTGAAGTTTGAGGATAGGTGGGTGTGTAGAGATCCAGTGGGCACAAGAGGTGGTTTGCTTTTGCACTGGTCTTCTAATATTGATATTCTAGTCTTGAACTGTTTTTATTTATATGTGGAAGTGAAGTTCAAGTTTACAGGGGAAATCTTAACTCAGTGGGCCATCTTTTTGTATCTAGTACTGATTCCAATGTTAGACAAGTGCAATGGAATTTCTTAATTAGGCAAAAGCAGTCTTGGGGGGATTGTTGGGTGTTAGGGGGAAACTTTAATGATCTGTTGTGTAATTCTGAAAAGAATGGGGGGAGCTGCGAGGTGGAGTCTAGTTTTTTTAGGTTTAGAAAGTTTGTCAGTGAGTTGGGGGGATTTGAAACTAAAGTGCTTGGTCAACCTTGTACCTGGTCCAATAATAGAAACAAGGTAAATTTGTGGCGGAGAAATTAGATAAGTTTTTTTTTTATCTCCTCATTGGTCTGATCAGTCTCCTAATGTTGTAATTAATCACATTTCTCTACCTTCTTCTGATAACAGTATGGTAGTGTTGAATCAAAACTCTAGAACGGAGAGAGAAAAGAGAAGGTTTACCTTTGACTCCAGATGGATTTCTATGGAAGGGTATCATCAGGTGGTAGAGAAAGCTTGGAATAGAAATGTGGAGGGACCTGGCCTATTTAGCCTTCATCAAATAATTAGAAATGTAAGAATGGCTTTGATTAAGTGGAAGGCAGGGTTGAAAACCTATTATGCTAAAGTAATCTTGTAATGCAAAGATAAACTTAATAAGCTAGGTTCTCAGGGGGACTTCAGGGATTGGGAGGAGTGAGATAACTGTAAAAATCTCCTGAACCAAGCTTATAAAGAGATGAGCAATATTGGCTTCCGAAATTTAGGATCCTTTGGCTCAAAGCTGGGGATAATAATACTAAGTTTTTTCCAGGCTACATTAAGCAAAGAAGACTTACAAATAGAACTGAAAACTGAGTGAACTCTAGTGGACAAAGATGTTCATCTATGCTAGAAGAAGAAGATGAGGTTAAAGCTTACTTTGAAAACCTTTTTAATACCTTTGAGCCTCAGGTTGAACACTGCAATATTTCTGGGATTCCTGCTTCTATAACCCTTGAGATGAACGCTTAGCTTACTAGAGGGGTGGAGGAGGAGGAAATACATACAACTTTGATGGACATGGACCCTAATAAGGCACCTAAAATCAATGGTATGTCTCCCATTTTTTTTTCCAGAAAGTTTGGCATTATATGAAACAGTCTTTGTGTGATGCTATTAAAAATTTATGTGTCTCTGGTAGGATGCCCAAAGCCTCTAACCATATTGTTATCACCCTTATTCCAAAAACCAAAAATGCCTCAAAAATTAATGATTTTAGACCAATCATGTATTGTTACTTATAAAATAATTGCACCTCAGAATGCATTCATTCCTTAAATGGCAAAAGAAAAAGCAAAGAGTGGTTTATGGCTGCTAAACTTGATATGTCCAAGGCGTATGATAGGGTAGAGTAGTCTTTCTCGGTTAAAGTGTGTCAAAAAATGGGTTTCTGCAATAAGTTTATAGCTTGGATAACATCATGTGTTTGTAGTTCTACTTTTTCTTTTAATATTAATGGTCAAATCAGTTGTTCTGTTATTCCTTCAAGTGGGCTGAGACAAGGGGACCCTTTGTCCCCTTATCTTTTCATTTTGTTATCTGAAGCCCTTTCAAATTTGTTGAAGCAATCTTGCTTAAGGGGTGATTTAAAAGGTTTAAAAATCAGTAGACATAGTCCCAGTCTTTGCTGATGATGTTATCATCTTTGGGAAAGCATCTGTGTACCAAGATAGTCTGTTAATTGAAAATTCTAAAAGATTATGAGGTTTCTTCTGGTCAAATGGTCAATTTGAAGAAATCATTTGTTTTCTTCTAAAAAAACTCTAATGGTGCTTTGAAGTCTGATGTGTGTCATGTTCTTTGTGGTATTGCTAGTGTCTCTTCTGCTAAGTATTTAGGTCTGCCCCAAGGAAATGAAAGATCCAAGAGAGAGACTTTTTTATTTGCGAGTGATAGTGTGAAAAAAATGAATTACCTCTTGGAAGAATTGTTTTTTAAGTGAGTTAGGTAGAGAGTTCCTTATAAAAATAGTCTTGAATTCTATTCCAGTATATGTTATGGCTTGTTTTAAGATTCCAATTGTTGTGTGTAATGAAATTTTAAGTCAATGGCATCCTTTTGGTGGGGTATATCTGAGAAAAGGGATGATAGAATTCATTGGTCCTCTTGGACTGGGTTGGCTAAGGGTAAGGAAGAAGAGGGTTTAGGGTTTAGAGATATGGGAGCTTTTAATAAGGCCCTCATTGTCAAGAAGCTTTGGGGAATACTTACTCAACCTAATTTATTGAGGAGTAAATTGATTAAGGGTATGTATTTTCCTAAGTCCATTTAGTGTGAGGTAAAAAAATGAGATGGGGATTCTTGGATGTGGAAAGGGTGGTTGGGATATAGGGATTCTTTGTTCAGGGGTCTAAGATATACGGTGGGAGATGGGGCCTCAATCAAAGTTTGGGATTTATCTTGGATCCCAAATAAAGCCGATTTCAAACCCTCTTGCAATTCTGTTGAAGACAGGGGAAGATTGGTGAAAGTATGTGATTTGATTTTGGAAGGGGGTAGGTACTGGGATAGAGAATTAATTGAGCAATCATTCAATCCTTTAGGTGCTCAATCTATACTCAAGATCCAGTTAAGTCACTTATAGAAAAAAGAAAAGACTAGTTTGGCACTTTGATCCTAAGGGTGTCTTTTCTGTAAAGTCGGCTGATGAGAATATTTTGGCTAATAGATCTGGTTGTAGGAGTCTAGCTTCCTCTAGTATGGTGAATGCAGTTGCAAGAAGAATGTGAAGTAAAACTAGAAGCTTCCCATACATCCAAAGTTGAAGAACTTTATGTGGAGAGTGATCCATGGTTTCTTGGGCACTAAAAACCAACTAGTTGGAAGAGGAATGAGTATAGACTCAATCTGCACTCTATATGGGGAGGACCAAGACGATCCAGAGCACTTGTCTTACCAATGCTCTCACACTAGTACCTGTTGGAAGCTGTTAGGTTTAGAGTGGTATGCTTTGCAGGATAAGGCAAAAACTTTGACAGGATGGTGGAAAAAAGTGTGCAACAACAACAACAGTTTCTTCAAACTTCACAAAGGATTACTTTGTTTGTTTGTTTGATTTGGCGGATATGGAAGGCCAGAAATAACAGTGTATTCAACATGGAGCCTTTTAAGGAATTAGAAGTGGTGACAGGTGCTAGGAAAGATTAGCTGAAGATGCTAAATATCAAGAGATATGAAAGGGAATTAGAAGTACCAAGGCAGATCAACACTGACTACTAAAGGAGAACAATTTTCCAGGAGAGTAGGGCTTGTGATCCTACAGGCCAGTGCTCTATGTTCACCGGAAGGAAAAGTGGATGTCTATAGTACAACAGTGCAGGATGAAGTGCAGATCCACACTTGGCAGGAGGCTAGAACTGTAAGGTGTGCATTGGAAGAAGCTAAGGCAAAGGAGTGAGATGAGGTTCAATATATTCTCAAGGACAAAGGGGTGGTGACTAATCTGAACTCCCATACACATGTTGTGCCTTCTCTTTCTGTGGTGGTTGATGATAATATGGAACTGAAAAAAATGTTTGAAGCTGTGTGTGTTTTCAGTTTGTCCTCCTTTTATTGTGTATAGTGGCCAAGTTGGTCGTTGAGGGTGATTCACGTGATGTTTCTCACGTGCTTTTTTCTTTTTAGCTTGTTGGTTAGTTTGAAAAGTAATGTAATCAGTTGATCTACTGGCTGTAAGTTACTTTGAGTTTAATTTAAGGGTTTTTGGTTGGAAAAAAAAAATCAATTTTAAAGATTGATCCTAGCTATAGGCTTCAAAAATCCGAAAACAATTTTAAAAATCCATTCAAAAAATATGTATTTAATTAAGTTAACAACTTTTTTGTGTCAAGTTAGGATTTTAAATAGAGAAGGCAAATTATCAGTTTCATGTATTTTGAGAGGTATTCTGTCAAGGGAAAAGGTTCGTAAGGCAAAGTCTAAAAACATGCATATTTTGGAA